TGAAAAACAGCAAGCAAGGAAAGGTCTCAAAAATGGTGCTTCTGAAAGTACAGCAGATGCAAGCACACACGCGGCCACACGCGTCTCGCTCACACCACCGAGGTTTAACGCTCTTTTCCCATTAAGTGAAGTCCAGACCTCAAGAGCTGTAAGACATTTTCTGCCCACCCCAATTAGACAAACAACTAATTACGGTGCAGCAAGTACCTGCAGCATATTCCAGCCGTAAGAATATCAAGAACAGATCATCAGCAGAAAAGGAATTTCTTAGTGATGGTGCTTTGGAGAACAGAGCAAAGAACTGGTGCTCTGGAGGGATGCTGTCGACTGATCACTGCTCTGCCACAGTTCCTTCCATCATTAATTGTACACGGACAACACATCTCACTTGCCTTTGCCAGGAGCAAAGCACACATCCAAAGCTTGCTTTTAGCAACACGTAGTCGGACGCACAGGAAAAGAGGTGCCGGGGCAAGGAGAACACACATGCTTAAACGCTGTCCAGATGAAGCTGCACATCTTCAGAGACTGCTTCAAAACTCATTTCTTGCTTGTCACTAAAGCTCCTTGGAATGCCCCAGTACAAGCCTGACACAGGAGCAGCTCTGCGACACTGTGCACATGGACACGTCCCTCCAGCCTCTCTCTGCAGACAAGGACCTTCTGAGACTACCCGTGTCACTAAGTCTGTAAACTTTGCAGTGTTTCCTGCTGCTGGAGCAGCCCAAAATGAGTTTTCTCACATGGGAAAAACATTAAGCTGTTCAGAAGTACATGTATGTGCCTGTTCCACGGTGGGCTGAAACTAAAAGCTGAAACTAAAGTTTTAGTCCTTCAAAAATTAGTAGTTAGGGCGATTGCTTGAGATGAGACAGAGCCCCACTAAAGTTTCTGGTCCACCTGTGTTGGGCCAGGACTGGAAACCTGGTGAGCCGATGCCCAGCTCAGCACTCCAGCTGTGCCAGTAATTCCCCACTGTGGGAACCATTCTTTGGGAAAAGAAAAATTTATCTGGGCAAAAACCAGAGATCAACTCCAGGGGTCACCAAGTTGCTTTATTTGTTGCGAGCATTATTATTATTTTTTTTAAAGGGTTTACCCCGCTGCACGTTTTTGTTAAAAAAAATCCATACTTAAACCAGAAGGAACCTCTGTGTGTGCACTAAGCCCTTCATTAAATTATCAGATCCATTAGTGAAGCAACTATTTGAAATGGCTGAGGTGACTGCAGTGGCAAAATCGTGGAAATCTACGAAGGAAACGACGAAGATGCCACGTTCCGAGCGCCGGTTCCAGCCCAGCAGGATGGCACCGTTACCAAGCGCTGCTGTAGAAGATGCAAGCGTGCCTGTACGTGTTCATGCACGTAGGGACAAGCAGCAATATCCCTGCTTTTGAAATCGAGCCTCCCTTAGCAGGGCATGCTGCCTCCTCCCTGAAGAACGGAAGGTTCTGGCTCCAGCAAGACCCACCTCCTGCGATGAAACACTTCCCTCCCGGGGCTGTCCCCACCGGCCAGCCTCGCAGCGCCAAGGGTAAGGGGCTATTCCCAACGGAGCCGTTGCCTCGCTCATCCGATCTGCACACAAATATCCTTAGGGCATCCAGCTGACTTCCTATAACACTGCAATCATATTCTCAGTTTGCCTCTTAATAAGAATCTCGTAAGATTATTTTAAACAAGTATTTACTGCTTAAACAAACGTGCATCTAAGGCATCTTCTTTCTAATGCCTTTTTCAGCTGGTTTTTCCTCCCCTCCAGCTGGTATCAGTTTTCTGTGCTCCGCCTAGCATCGGGGAGCCAGTTAGCATCTGCTTTTGCAAAGAATTCCATTATCTGCCTTCATTACCAGATACTTTACACAAGGCAATTGTAATTCTGTTGTCGCTGCGTTGCACATGAGACACGGCGGTTCTTGTTTTGGCACTCCGTGGAGTTGTTTCCACATTCGGTGACAATGTGCCTATCACAACTTCTGCAGGCATCTCTCCCCAACGATACTGAACTCGCTAAGGTCGCATCCGCTTTCTTTTAAAAACACTACACAGATGTAACGTGCACTAAAAGCACAAGCATACGCCTTAGTGATCGCTCCTGCAATAATATTTCCCAGTTATATCAGCAGACAATTACATTTCAAAGAGAAATCCTGGAAATGGAAGACAACTGCTTTCAAACAATACACTATTACGCTGCTGCATATGTTTCCCTGCTTCAGCTGCTATTCCTATTATATTAAACAGAGAGATAAAAGAAATAAATGGGGACAATATGGCCAGGATATTGGGAGTTTGCATGATCTAGTATTGCAACAAACACACAATTTATCTGCACGGGGGAAAACAGACACCACTTCTCAGGAAGGCAAAAGGCTTTTTAAATAACAAGATATATAAAGCCCTTGCAAAGGGTTGAGGATCCTGTTTCCCAAACCTGCTGCAATCTCCAGTTAGATGAGCTGAAAGGGAAGAGGTGTTTCTTTTGAAAATGGAGTCTCCGCGCGATGCAGATTAGAGTCCATCTCGGTAAAAAGAGGAAAGAAAAAGCTCCGGATGACTCAGCTAGGTAATTGGGGTTAGTACCAAATGCTCAATATTTAAACTGTCAAGGTAAAATACAGAGAAAAGAAAGGGGGAAAAACCACCACAAAAAGAGATGACAGACGATATTTGCAAATAGAAGGGGATACTGAGGATTTTACATCCCTCTTGCGTTACCTCAGATAACTATTAGCAACATATGCTGGTTTTTGGAGACTTTACAATGGTCTCATTTATCAGCCTGTGCTCATTTTAATGGTGTTAGGTACCATTTTTATCACCCAGCACATAACGTGGTTACAGTCTGAGCCTTTTCTGAGATTACCCTGCTCAGACAGCAGTGCTGCCGCATCACAGCCACTGTTTTTCATTTAGTAATGATGGATATCAGAATGCAGCCAGCATCCACTACACAGAGCCAACCTTGCATATCAAACAACTAATTCCCTTCTTGATTTCACTATAAACATTAAAAAAAAAGAAAAAGTAGGGAGTCCCTTGAAAGCTAACCCTAGAGCTGTGAGGGCAGCACGTCTAATTTACTGATTACAATTTACAAGAACCTAAATAAGCATATTGAAGGGACCATAATTGAACAAATGGGGTTTAGAATTCTCCCACTACTAATAATATAATAAGCTTATTGTTTTAATCTTCCCACTAGCCCTCTATTCAGCTCCAAGGAGACTGACA